CCCCGACCCCTGCTCCCCCCCCTTATCCGACCGTTCCATTTGGGTGACCCAGAGGTGAACTGTCCCCCGCGCGCCCCTCCCTTTTCCCCTTCTCAAACACACAGCTTCTGTGCACAGCACCTCCAACAAGCAGGGCGCCTGCAGCCGCAGGGAGCGCCAATCTGCCAATTCCCCCATACAGTGAAACGATAGATGATAGAAAACTGCTTCACGGAGCAGAGGATTTTTTTTCTTTTTCCAGCGCTCGTGCCGCCCCCCCCATGAGCCATGAAAAAATGTCGCCCCGGGCGGCTGCCCGGTTCGCCCATGCCCAGAACCGCCACTGACCGGGAGCAGTAATTAGCCATCCCCATCAGACCCCTGATTTCTCCTGGATTCTGGGGGTCTGCAGCCTGCTGAACTGCAATCACCTTCTTGGGATCTGCTGAAACAGGTCCTGCTGAGAAGATGAAACCAAAGAACTCAAGCCTTGACTTATTGAACTCACATTTTTCCCGATTGAGTGTGAGACCGCTTTCCCTGAGTCGCTGGAACAGTGCTCGAAGGTTGTTGTTATGGTCAGTCTGGGAGGCTCCGTAGACAATGATGTCGTCGCTGAGGTTCTTCACACCAGAGAGACCTTGCAGTGTCTGGCATATAGCATTTTGAAATACTTCCGCAGCAGAGAATATACCAAAACTCAGTCTCTTGTAGCGCCTCAACCTATTGTGTGTGGTGAAGGTAATGGTATCCAGCTGGTGGTATCCAGCTCTCAAATCCAGTTTTGAAAACACTGTTGCTCCGTTTAGCTCGTGTATCACGTCGCTGTGGCGCATATCAACACAAAGTCTGACTTTGTCAGGGTCTTTAGGCTTGGGAGGTGCAACGATAAGTGAGACCCAAGGTGTCGGGCCATTGACCTCCTCAATGATGTCATCTGCCTCGAGTTTCTGAAGCTCATCTTCGACCTTCTGGGGAATGTGGAACGGTACACGTCGATGTGGTTGGCATGAAGGCTTGTCAGGATTTATGTGAAGCTTTACCTGAAAGTCCTCCAGTTTTCCGATCCCTTGAAACAGTTCCGGATGATTTTCCACCAGCTCATCTGCGACTGTGCGACGCTGTTGTGTGGACGACACTGCTGTGACTATTTTAATCAGTCCCAGTGCTTTGGATGTTTTGTAGCTGAGCACGTTGAATCCATCCCCTTCAACTACAAAGAATGTGCACATTGTCTTTTCCGGTCCTTTCTCCACACTGCACTTGAGTGGTAATGGAACTTTGGAGCGAAACGGGTAAATCTTGGTGCTGGTGTAGTTCAGTTGAGGACGTGGCATCCTATTCTCGAAACTTGTTTCGCTAACACAGTTTGCAGAGGCTCCTGAATCAATTCAAACTACCATGCTACTGCCATTTAACTTGATGTGTGTCTGTGGCAGCTCTGAGACATTTTCAGCATCTACTACAAACACATAAGCGTCATCACTGCTGGAAGAGTTGCGTTCCTGTTCTTCACCTGCTGTCTTTGTTATGTGAAGAGCCTTCAGTTATCAGGCTCCTCTTTTGTGGAACCAGGTTCCACTTTCAGTCCGGGGGGCAGATTCGGTCAGCTCTTTTAAAGTAAAACTTAAAACTTTCCTCTTTGATTCTGCCTATAGTTAGGGCTGGCTCAGGTTAGCCCAGACCAGCCCTTAGTTAAGCTGCTATAGGCTTAGACTGCCGGGGGACTTCTTAGGACACACCGAGCTCCTCTCTCACTCTCTCGTTCTACCATAATTCACGTTTTATTAATGTACATGACTAATTCAGCTTCTGTCCGGGAGGTTTTTTTGTGCTTTCTCCCCTATCAGGTCTCCGTAGATCGTGGTTCCTTCGGGTCCCTGGTCCTGACACCTACCGTGGCCCTGCTGACGCCTGCTGCGGCCATCATCATCATCATCATCATTATTATTTTAGATATTAATCATATTACTGTACTCGTAAACCAACATTACCCTCTCCTAAAGTCTCTGTGCTCTCCCTCCCCACAGGCTTCTGTGGATGGTGGTTCTATCTGATGGTGGTTGCCCCTGCAGTGGTCCTGCTGTGCGCCTGGCTTACTACTCACAGTTACTTGAATCATTTCTGTCATATAATTGCATGTATTATATATTGTTCATTCTGTACACATGGCATCCATTGTAGTCTGTCCATCCCGGGAGTGGGATCCCTCCTCTGACGTTCTCCCTAAGGTTTCTTCCCTTTTTTCCCTCTTGGAAGAGTTTTTTCATTTTTTGGGGAGTTTTTCCTGTGCCGATGGTGGGTTTCGGGACAGAGGATGTTGTATGTGTACAGAGTGTAAAGCCCTCTGAGGCAAATTTGTAATTTGCGATTATGGGCTATACAAAATAAAATGAATTGAATTGAATTGAATTGATGGACTTTTTTATGGTGTTGGTTTGCCTTGTACTGTGGTTGTTTTGTGCTAATGTCCTTGGTTTTAGAGCGACATTGCTTAGCAAAGTGATTCAGCTTACCACAGTTTCTGCATTGTTTGCTTCTAGCAGGATATTCTCCTTCATGAGGATATTTACCTCCACAGTTCCTGCAGCTGTTGTCTGAACGTTGTTTTTCTGAACATCGTCTGCTGTTTGGATGCTTCTGCACGGTCTTTCGATCCAGTACGTTGACTGCAGCTGTTGTGCCTCTTTCTATCCCGGTCGCTTGCATTTCAGAAAGATCAAGTGTTCTTCCATGATCAAGAAGCTCTTCTAGGCCAAGTTCAGGTTCCCGTAGCGATTTCCTGCGCAGCCTGGATGATGCACAGCTTTGTATGATTTGCGTTTTAATCTCTGTGTTGACATCTGCAAACTCACAGTTCCTAGCTAGCATCCTTAGCCTCATATGATAACTGTCCACATTTTCTCCTGGTTCCTGTACCGTTTTTTCTGAAGATGTATACTTGATACTGCACGTTTGCACATCTATATCTGCAGGTGACGTGGTTACGTCATGAACATAACACTGTCTAATTATCTCTTTGTCTTTCGCCAACACTCAAATTCTGACATTACATTCTCTATTAATTTGTCAGCGTCACGACCCGGCAGAACACAGGACACAGTTGTAGGGTTTTAAGGGATTTGTAGTCTTTATTAGTAAGACTGGATCTCCAAGGCAGAGAAATGAATATGAGCTATAACAATTTAGATTACACTTCTACCGATGAATCATTTAGGAAGAAGTGTGGCTATGAAAATGGTAAGCACTCTTTGGACGGAGGCAACGTCACTTAACAAAAAAGACTCCTTAAAACTGGAGGCACTATGAAAGATTATCAAAACAAAATTCACTCCTTACGGAGGAAACAAAGGACGATGAAAACATTAACCATTAACCTCAATGTATGATTTCACAAAATCAGAATTACTCTCTAGGAAGAAAAACAACGGAGCAGAACACCATGACGTGGTTTTAGAGGCTAAGAAACTACGGCGAGGCCGAAGTGAACACAAGGACACAAGGACGGAAACAAAGACACTGGCACCGGACAAAGGGAGACGCAGATTATGAGTAGACATGGAGGGCGATGGGGAACAGGTGGACATAACTGGGAATCAGGGAACTGGTGACACATGTGGAAAGGGTAAGTGAGAGTTATTTCAGAATAAAACATAAAATGACAAGACAAACGGACCAGACAAAATAAAACAAACCTAAAAGGTTCACTGCGGTGTGACAGGCAGATTGTCATATTTAGGGGTTTTAATTGAGGAAAGTAGCCACTAGATTCCGATGTAAGCTTTAAAATACGATGACCGAGTCCTGCATTTGTTACAGAACAGTCAATATGGAGATTTGTATCTGCAACTGCTTTGAGGACAATATAAGCTAAATACATACATTTAAAACAATTACAAATAACTTTATGTAATATATTTGCCCCCAGACTCCCCGCTAACGTTATCAGTGTTTAAATAGAGGGAACAGATTGTCTCCGGCTCCTGCAGGCTCTGTTTCTTTGCATATACCCTGTGTGTTCCAAAAGAGATAATGATTATCTGATGAAATGCACAAATCAATCACTGAATAGCTAAAGTTAAGTACTGAAGAGTACTTTGATCACTGATACTGATGTTATATAAACTGTTATTAAACACAAACTGGATCATAAATGTCTGAAGGTTCAGATCACACTGGAACTGTGGCTAAAAATAAATTAACAAAGATTAGTCAAAATATGGCTGTGAATAATGGGGACAAATGATAAGTTGTCACCCACTTTCACATTGAGTTTAACCAATAAAAGCAATTTTAAGATGCTGCCTTGGGCTCTGTAAATATTCAACATTCTTCACATAATTGATGTTTTGAACCATTGAAATACCTGTTTGACGATGTAGAAAAAAGACCTTATATGAGTTATTCATAAGTCATTGTTATAAGTAGGTTTACTCCTGAAACATTGTTCTCTTCTTTATTGTCTATACAACAAACCAGATGAACTCACCCTGTCCAGTCTCTGTATGGCACACACACACACACACACACACACACACACACACACACACACACACACACACACACACACACACACACACACACACACACACACACACACACACACACACACACACACACTAAGGAACGCTCCGTCCCATCGATAAACATAAAATGATTGACAGGATCAGAGAGGTGACAATAAAACCCACATCCAACCGTCTGATTCTAGGTGAGCGCCGTGCTGCAGGTAAGACACATTCCTATTTTATTTCATCTCATGACTTTCTGACTGGAAATAAAAAGATGAAACAAGACAAGTAAGCATTTAAAAATTAACTCTAATTTCAATAGTGTGAGTTTGAGTCTGTGTTTTTATGGACAGGCTAATGTCATTACAGCCATTTATTACACACGTCTGTGAGCGAGTCCTCTCCTGTCGTAGGGAACTCAAACAAGTATTTGAGTGAAGCAGATACAGAGTCATTTCATGTCTGAAAGCATTGACCGTCATCAGGGATAATCACCTGTCTTACAGGTTGCAGATGTTCACATCTGGGCATACCTGTATGCTTACTTTAACATCTTCTCCACCAATTGCATCAAATCAAAAATACCAGACAATTTATCTTCTGTCTGTAAAAAATACCAACATATTCATGGAATTACTCGGTTTACTTTCAGGCTAATTTTGCGAAACGAAGATTCACTGTTAATTAAATAAGTCTTTAAAGATCCTTTGGTTCTTTGATCTGTGGAGTTCTGAACCTCTGATCAAGGATCACTACTGTTAGCGTCGGTCCCTTCTGAGACGAGAAGGCAAAAAGAGTCAACTAACTCAAATATAGAATCTATTAACTAGCAGAAGCAATACAATTACAAAGTTAAGAACAGGATGAATGGTATAATATTTTGTGAAATGGAGCTGGTTCCAAAATAATTCTACCAGCCCTTCCCCTGTCTTTGTCCTTCAAAAACTGCTCCAAGGTATTTATGACTCCCTCCTGGCTCCATCTGATGGTCGAATCTGAAATCCCTGACTGACCGATCCCTGTTCAATTATTACCACAGTACATTCAATGATCACACCTAAGGCTAAAAGCTTCTTCATGTAAACATGACGAAACATGCTTAATATCATCTAATAGCTAGTACACTTTAACAAAAACACATCCTAAATCATCACAGTTCATCACGTTAACTATAATGTGTAACAGTTTATATGGTCCAAAATCAAAATATTTGCCTTGCAGGGCTTTCCTACATCCTTTGCCCATAAACAACCTGACAGGAGACTAAAACCTCCACAAAACCATCTTTGGGGAGAAAATGTGAAAGAAATCCAAACTGTTTGTGCCCCTTCCATCTGGCAGGACGCTGAGGTCCATCAGGACTAAGACCTCCCACCACACAAACAGTTTCTTCCCGTCGGCAGTCGGGCTCATAAACCGAGCCGATCCCCCACTGACTGACTATAACATTCCACCGGTCACTCCTCTTCATACTGCACATGTCACTTTTCACTTTGTTGTCACTCGTCACTTTGTTACTTGTTCGCTAGTGCACTTTATGCTTAATATTTTTAAACTTTAATATTTTACATTTTTAACTAACTTTCTCTTATTTTATACTAACCCATTGCCTTATTCTACTAACCCATTGCAATAGCATTTCATTTTACTTCATTTTATAACTTGTGCACTGCTGCCTTGTTGTCTATTGTTACACTGTCTGTCCCGCACAAACCGCCAAGACAAATTCCTTGTATGTTTGACGTATTTTGGCAAAAAATGATTCCTGATCCTTGAAGGAAGAATTAAGAGTCCTTCAACAGGTTTAATGTTACATTGTGACAGGATGTTAATGTGAAGAGTAATTAATTGACTATTGTTGGATTCATATTGCAATTATTAATACAACATGCTAATGTTATAACTAATTTCGAATAACCCACAAACTACAATTCTATCACTAAATATTATCGCATGTATTATATTTTATACCACTAGGTGTGCTCTTCTGCTTAAATCCCTATTACGATTTGATCATAATAGGAGATTTCTTTATAAGAGCCAACCATGTGTTCAATCTATTGACTATCAGCGTAGAAACAGTACTTCAACTCTAAATATGATTCCAAGAGCAACAATTAGCTGGTTACATTATTTAATGCCCTAAATTGGCGAGGAGACACTTCACAGTAAAACATTCATGACGTGTTCATCTGGTTTGTCAAAGTGCAAATTTTTAAACTCCAATTTCTCTTTTTAGATTTAATTTCCTCTTTTACAATTACGGTGAAGATTTTTAAAGAACAAACCACATCATTTTCAGAAAGATGTCCTCCCAAGTCCGCCTGAGGCTGCTGCCGAGAGCCAGATGCATGTTCGACGAGCCCGTCCAGGTGAAGGTGGCCGGTCTCAGGTCGAGACAGATGGTCACCCTGAGAGCCAGATCCACTGACGAGAAGGGAGTGGTGTTCAGCTCCTCGGCCACCTTCAGGGCTGATGGGAGCGGGCAGATCGACCTGGAGAGGGACCCCTCCCTCGGTGGGACCTACACCGGCGTTGAACCCATGGGTCTGCTTTGGTCCATGAGGACGGACGCTTTGCACATGAAGTTCCAAAGAACTAAGTCTCTTAACCCCCACGTGGTGAAGATCTCAGTGCACGAGGAGGAGGAGGAGGAGGAGCGAGACGAGGAGGGCAGGATGCTGGCAGAATCAACCAATGAGAGGCTGCTGATCGGAGACGGGGTCATCCGGCGCACAGTCAGAGAGGGGAATATTCGTGGGGTCCTTTTTACCCCCGCAGGTTCTTCTTCATCTCCATCAAATATTCAAATCCTTCAATAACCAACATTAAAAACAATGGCTTATGTTTGATGTGAGGATTTAGTTGTGGTGACATAGTAGCGTTAACCTTCTGTGTCTCGATCCAGGAGAAGGTCCGTTCCCCGCTGTGTTGGATCTCTACACCGGTGGAGGTTTGTCAGAAAAAAGGCCCTCCCTGCTGGCCAGCCGAGGGTTTGTGGTTCTGACTGTAGCGCTGTACGGTCACAGCGACATGCCGAGAAACATTAGAGAGGTCCATCTGGATTATTTAGAAGAGGCAGTGGAGTTTTTGAAAAAACAATATAAGGCAAGTTGTTTGAACTGTAAACTCTTAATCTCTGAGAATACAGTTGTTTTTTGGGACACCTTTTTGCAGGTTTTCTGTCTACAACACTGCCAAAAGTATTTAATAAAAAGCAGCTAATCGTCTGTGTGTTGGACCACAGGTTGGCGGTAAAGGAGTTGGTGTGATATCCCTTTCAAAAAGTGGAGATCTGGCACTGTCGATGGCCTCTTACCTGCAAGGTGTCGAGGCCGTAGTGTGGATCAACGGCTGCTCCGCCAACACGATTCTTCCTCTCTACTATAAGAAGAGCCAGATCCTCCCTGCGTTAATGGTTGACCTCAGCAAGCTGATTCCCACTGAGTCAGAGGCCTTCAATACCAAGAAGGTTATGAACGACCCTCGTGCAGAGGAGAACGAGGCCACCCTGATCCCTGTGGAGCGGGCGGAGGGACGTCTCCTCTTCGTGGCCGCAGAGGACGACCTCAACTGGGACAGCAAGGCTTATGTGGACATGATGGTGGAGCGACTGCAGCGTCACGGGAAGGACAACTTTGAGATTGTGTGTTACCCCGGAGCGGGACACTATCTAGAGCCCCCTTACGGACCCTACTGCCCCTCCAGTTTTCATTCAGTTGTAGGCGGGCCGGTCCTGTGGGGGGGCGAGGCCAGGTCCCACGCTGCAGCTGAGGTCCACCTGTGGAAGAAGATCCAGGAGTTCTTCAGGACTCACCTGATCTGTGACGCAGACTAAAGCTAAACTCTAGAAGCAAATATCACGATGTGAGAGAGATGGGTAACACCTGAGGGGGGGTTACAACTGCAATCAAATAAAACAAGCAAATAATAAAACTACCGAAAAATATAAACACAAAGCCTGATTACTGAGTTTGTATGACTACGTGAATTTAACGTATTATATTGAGATGTTTTATCAAATATACAAAGCTGTCTAATTGCCTCATTGCCTTTCGCCAACACTCAAATTATGACATTACATTCTCTAGATTTGGCAGCGTCACGACCCGGCCGAACACAGGACACAGTTGCAGGGTTTTAAGGGATTTGTAGTCTTTATTAGTAAGACTAGATCTCCAAGGCAGAGAAATAAATACAAGTTTTATATATAATCCATGTGACCGGGGCAACTGATGTGCCTGGCCGCAATGAAACAACGCCTTTGAGTACGACAAATGAATAAAGGTTCTTATTTGTTCAAGAAAGGGGAGCAGAGAGGTGAATTTCCATTTTTGAATAGTGTCCAGTTTTATTTATAAGTAAGCGTCAGATTGGTTAAATACAGCTTTTGTTACAAAAACATCTTTATGCTAAAAAATGATGTCACTATAGTGCGGTGTTTTTACCAGCACAAGGTGATTGTATCAGGGAAGTCTAAAGGAGCGGGGGAGTGAAGGGGGACGGGACACACGCGCGCACGCCAAATAAACAAAAATGAGGAAGCCCTCCACCTAGTGGACCACCACCTATAGACCTATGACCAGCCCACCTGTACTGATTTTGAGAGGACCTCAGTATAGGATCTACCTGTAACGCACCACAAGAGACCAGAGTGAACTCAAGCGCAGAGCGCAGTTTTATTAGCGGGGTACAGACAAGGATCAGGCGTGGTAGAGTCCGGTGAACAGGCAGGGGTCGAAAGCCGGGAGCACGGAGGTAGGCAGAGGTACCGTCGAGGGTCAGGCAGGCGTGAACGAGGTCTGGGACAAAGGAGAGGTCAATAACAGGTAGGCAGAAACAGGATATTAAGAGAACGCTCAGAATGTGATGGCAACATGCACGAGACTTCTGAGGCTTCGGCAGCTTAAATGCCCAACCTCTCCTGATGAGAGACGAGCCACAGGTGTGTTGGTGGGAGTGGCCGTGCCCGCTCAGCGGGCTGATCCTGAGTGGCACAAACCATTGTCACGTGCCACAGAGGGGTGACTGAGATCCCGAGCTTCGGACCTTAGTACTCCGGAGACGGGGAACGTCTGTTTGTGACACTACCCCAGTTGGCTTACAAAAACGAAAAAAACAAAAGAAACACCAGCTTGAGGAGAAATCTTTGATGAAAGATGAAAATGCGGTTCTGCATTGAATGGCGCCCAGGGCGAGACCACCTTTCAGCAAACAAAATTCTGCAGTTATATTTTATTTTTTTATTTTAACATAAGTGAGAGAATTACATTAGAAAAACACAATTAACAGAATCCAGTTACTCTTGCAATTACAACAGGAAACACACATTTGCATAAAATATACAATACAAAAGAACAATATACAAATAAAATATAGAATAAATATTGTAAATAGCACAAATTCTTCATCACACAAATGGAAACACACTAAATACAATCAAACTGTTTCACTATTGCACTAAGAACAGAAAACACAAACTAAATCTAAAACCTGACGTTTCTGGCCTTCCTTGATGCAAAATCATCAATAATGTCTTTGTATGAAATCTGCTCCCCTATTGAATGATTGATGCTGATGACACCAAGGCCAGTGAGCCGTTTCTGGGACAGGAAACATTAGCTCCTCGGTTACAGCCTTGAATTCTATGCATGGCACACTTAGTTCTGACGGTTAAACAATACTTTGTCACAAAATACAGTTGTAGCAAATACCAATGTTTGTCTTTGAAACTACCTACAGATTTGAGAATTCCGTTGGTTAATGACAGGACCTAACATTAAACCAAATGATGGAAATAAATAATAACTGAACTTGTGACAGTTTTGTTTCAAAGCACATATTATGGTGAAATTACAAACCTCGTGTTTGTTGAGTTAAAACCAAATTATTATTATTATTAAGCAACGTAGCAAAAAGGCTAACAGACGAAAGAGTTACCCCACCAATTAATTTATGACACATGTATAATCATACAGAGAGACAACATATTTGCATACCTCCATCTTTTGCTCGTTTCTCCTCCTCTTCTATTCTTTTCTTTCTGTAGTGGGAACCTGATGATTTTAACCTTTTTCTGTCCATCTCTGTTTTTATTTGCCTCTGACTCGACAAGCAACAGATTTCCCATCCCCCCAACACTGTCAGTCACAACCAGAAGTCAAGACTTAACTAAATTAACCTTGGTGACAGGTGACACATAATCGTTTTGTATTACCAATTTTTATTGGCCATTTCACACAATTCATTAAAAACAAAAATGTGCAGGAACTATAGGCTTGCATTTCTCATCATTGAAATGTGCGTTACTTGTAAGAAAGTTGGGGTGTGACTGACTTAAGCCCACTAATTACATTAGCGTATTTAACAGTGAATCCCCTGACCCCTGCTCCCCCCCCTTATCCGACCGTTCCATTTGGGTGACCCAGAGGTGAACTGTCCCCCGCGCGCCCCTCCCTTTTCCCCTTCTCAAACACACAGCTTCTGTGCACAGCACCTCCAACAAGCAGGGCGCCTGCAGCCGCAGGGGGCCACAATCTGCCAATTCCCCCATACAGTGAAACGATAGATGATAGAAAACTGCTTCGCGGAGCAGAGGATTTTTTTTCTTTTTCCAGCGCTCGTGCCGCCCCCCCCATGAGCCATGAAAAAATGTCGCCCCGGGCGGCTGCCCGGTTCGCCCATGCCCAGAACCGCCACTGACCCCAGCAGACTCCTGATTTCTCCTGGATTCTGGGGGTCTGCAGCCTGCTGAACTGCAATCACCTTCTTGGGATCTGCTGAAACAGGTCCTGCTGAGAAGATGAAACCAAAGAACTCAAGCCTTGACTTATTGAACTCACATTTTTCCCGATTGAGTGTGAGACTGCTTTCCCTGAGTCGCTGGAACAGTGCTCGAAGGTTGTTGTCATGGTCAGTCTGGGAGGCTCCGTAGACAATGATGTCGTCGCTGAGGTCCTTCACACCAGAGAGACCTTGCAGTGTCTGGCATATAGCATTTTGAAATACTTCCGCAGCAGAGAATATACCAAAACTCAGTCTCTTGTAGCGCCTCAACCCATTGTGTGTGGTGAAGGTAATGGTATCCAGCTGGTGGTATCCAGCTCTCAAATCCAGTTTTGAAAATACTGTTGCTCCGTTTAGCTCGTGTATCACGTCGTCCATGGTGGGAGTTATGTGCCGTTCTCTCTCTATAGCTGTGTTAGCTTGGCGCATATCAACACAAAGTCTGACTTTGTCAGGGTATTTAGGCTTGGGAGGTGCAACGATAAGTGAGACCCAAGGTGTCGGGCCATTGACCTCCTCAACGATGTCATCTGCCTCGAGTTTCTGAAGCTCATCTTCGACCTTCTGGGGAATGTGGAACGGTACACGTCGATGTGGTTGGCATGAAGACTTGTCAGGATTTATGTGAAGCTTTACCTGAAAGTCCTCCAGTTTTCCGATCCCTTGAAACAGTTCCGGATGATTTTCCACCAGCTCATCTGCGACTGTGCGACGCTGTTGTGTGGACGACACTGCTGTGACTATTTTAATCAGTCCCAGTGCTTTGGATGTTTTGTAGCTGAGCACGTTGAATCCATCCCCTTCAACTACAAAGAATGTGCACATTGTCTTTTCCGGTCCTTTCTCCACACTGCACTTGAGTGGTAATGGAACTTTGGAGCGAAACGGGTAAATCTTGGTGCTGGTGTGGTTCAGTTGAGGACGTGGCATCCGTTTCTCGAAACTTGTTTCGCTAACACAGTTTGCAGAGGCTCCTGAATCAATTCAAACTACCATGCTACTGCCATTTAACTTGATGTGTGTCTGTGGCAGCTCTGAGACATTTTCAGCATCTACTACAAACACATAAGCGTCATCACTGCTGGAAGAGTTGCGTTCCTGTTCTTCACCTGCTGTCTTTGTTATGTGAAGAGCCTTCAGTTATCAAGCTCCTCTTTTGTGGAACCAGGTTCCACTTTCAGTCTGGGGGGCAGATTCGGTCAGCTCTTTTAAAGTAAAACTTAAAACTTTCCTCTTTGATTCTGCCCATAGTTAGGGCTGGCTCAGGTTAGCCCAGACCAGCCCTTAGTTAAGCTGCTATAGGCTTAGACTGCCGGGGGACTTCTTAGGACACACCGAGCTCCTCTCTCACTCTCTCGTTCTACCATAATTCACGTTTTATTAATGTACATGACTAATTCAGCTTCTGTCCGGGAGGTTTTTTTGTGCTTTCTCCCCTATCAGGTCTCCGTAGATCGTGGTTCCTTCGGGTCCCTGGTCCTGACACCTACCGTGGCCCTGCTGACGCCTGCTGCGGCCATCATCATCATCATCATCATTATTATTTTAGATATTAATCATATTACTGTACTCGTAAACCAACATTACCCTCTCCTAAAGTCTCTGTGCTCTCCCTCCCCACAGGCTTCTGTGGATGGTGGTTCTATCTGATGGTGGTTGCCCCTGCAGTGGTCCTGCTGTGCGCCTGGCTTACTACTCACAGTTACTTGAATCATTTCTGTCATATAATTGCATGTATTATATATTGTTCATTCTGTACACATGGCATCCATTGTAGTCTGTCCATCCCGGGAGTGGGATCCCTCCTCTGACGTTCTCCCTAAGGTTTCTTCCCTTTTTTCCCTCTTGGAAGAGTTTTTTCATTTTTTGGGGAGTTTTTCCTGTGCCGATGGTGGGTTTCGGGACAGAGGATGTTGTATGTGTACAGAGTGTAAAGCCCTCTGAGGCAAATTTGTAATTTGCGATTATGGGCTATACAAAATAAAATGAATTGAATTGAATTGAATTGATGGACTTTTTTATGGTGTTGGTTTGCCTTGTACTGTGGTTGTTTTGTGCTAATGTCCTTGGTTTTAGAGCGACATTGCTTAGCAAAGTGATTCAGCTTACCACAGTTTCTGCATTGTTTGCTTCTAGCAGGATATTCTCCTTCATGAGGATATTTACC